CTTATCAAATTGTCGACGTGGAAGCGTGTTGTCTCTTTTGCTTTAACCTTTCATGTTAGTGAATAAATTTTTAGTCATAATTTACTAAAGAGTTCAACGTGTAGTTGGTATCAAAATTTGGCGAGTACAATACTTTTCAGGGTTCCTCCTCATACCTCATAGGAAAAAACGGAACCCTTATAGGATCACTTTGTTGTTCGTCCGTCTGTCTGTCAAGACACTTTTTTTTTATCTCAATTGAATAGTTAGAAAAAGACAATTACTAGAGCAGGCTCAGTGCGGCTGTTGAGCCCCAGATATTGACGATAAAGTATAGTAATTACATTTTAGAAGTACAACAAGTACACGATTATAATGTTCTTTGTCTCAATTTTACTATCTGGGATTTTTTTTTTAATTTATCACATCCGAAGACAAAGCTTATGCGTACATGAATGGAGAGATTACATTAAAGTTGCATTAAAAAGTTTAGCTTTTAGACTATATTAAAGTAAAAAACAATTGCTTTTTAAAGTAAACATAAAAATATAAAACAAAATATTTTCTCTTAAAAACAAAGTAAGTACTCTTAAAGAGAGCAACGCAAAAGAGTTGTTATTATATAAATTTGACATATAGAACCTTTTTAGTGATTCGTTTGACAGTTGTCACCTATGGAGTATTGAATTAATTTCGATTGAATTTAATGTCGCACTTAATGGATGGCTGTCAGTATCGAACACATACGCTCAAAACGAACAACAATAAACTATGGATAATTGTAACGAAATTAATTAAACAAATAGTTACTATAAGATTAATTTATTACTACAGTTGATTTAGTTATTTAATTCATAATTTAGTTTATAATTAAAATTATATGCAGTTGAGCGACGAGTTAGCCGCAGTAATCAAACCTTACACTCCCTAGGGCATTGCCAGGTGCGGGTTACAATGTTAATTAGTTTGCAATTTTAACGAAATATAACTAATTCAATATTATGCTATTAATAGTTAGATATTATAAAATCTTTTTTATAATTTTGTTTTGTAATTTTTTGAAAGTGTATATAAAATATTTTTATTCTATTGAGATTACATTACTGGCAACTTATAATTGACTTATTACATAAAAATTAGAAGAAACTTAAGGTAGGTGTGTATTTTATATTATATGGCTGTACGGCCAGTTTCTTGTGGGTAGCTATAAAAGTGCGTGGAAGAAATTCCCTGCGAATTATGTAAGTAAGAGTTCTTTTTATTGAAATGATTAATAATGTAAGGCAAAAGCATCAATCGCCGTTTTAATCTTTCTAATATTATAACTGCGAATATTTGCATCGAAGGATGGATGTTTGTTAGAACTTATCATCACAACGGCTGCACGGATCTCGCTGAAATTTTGCATAGATGTAGAACATATCCTGGAAGAACATGTAGGTTACTAATTAAGTTTTGTTTAGTCCTAGCGGACAGAGTCCCGGGCAACGGCTCGTGTTTTTGTAAGATTCAAACCGTAAACATTATTGATAGTTTTAATAAGAGATTTATTTCCACATTCATCAATCAATGTCGCTAGACATAGGCTTTTTAAGATTATCAGCTTAAAAAATTGTTAATAGGGTCGTAAATTACTTGAAAGTTCCATAAATTTCTTCATAGATATACATATTCTTGTTGAGTTATGAGAAATTGATGAAATGACCTTTATGGTGATTATGAAAGGACAAGATTAAAGGAAAGATCAAATCAGTGAACATGAAGGGACAGAGGTGTTAATTCCTTTTCTCGTCTAGTTAACATTGGTATTAATGTTGATTTTGTAAATCAGGAAATACGCAAAATATCTAAATGTCTAACCATAATCAATACAATCTTAAGCTTAGTTTAAAGTTGTTACGTTAAGTTTAGTATTATCATATTGTCAATATCTTTGTCAAAACAGAAGTAACGATATGTTTTAAACGGGATTTTGGTCTCAGAAACCTACGATTAGACGCATATTGTTGTCTTGAGAAGGACATCATCATCTTGGCCTTATCCCACTAACGTTACTGTACTGTGCAACGGTGTAGTACAGTATGACTTTTATTGTATTAACTAAAGCGACAAAAGAAAAACTAACGAATCACTGGTAACTAAACCAATTGGCTTTGGAGCCTTCAAAGGCCCTTGTTATTTAGTCGTCAGTCGCTTGTGCAGAGCGAAAGCGTGGACTAATCACGATTATTGACGCACGAATGACGGCCTGCGTTTACCGGTCGAACGGGAACCACTTTATGGTAACGGCTATTTAGTGGTCCGGGAATTTCGTTGTAACAATTGAAAGCGCAAACAAATTAGTGACAAATATTGGTTTCGGACACGGAGTGATGGTTTTCTAACTGTATTGATACTGTAATAGTACTTCCCAACCATAAGAATGCTTCGTTCTTTTGTTTTGTACGGTTTATATGAAAAATATGTTTTTTTTATTTGATAGACGTATCTGGTTGCGGAGGGTCGGTGGCTCAGGAGTCAAGCATTTGACAATCTGCAGGTCTTGGGTTCGAAGTAACATGTTTGACCGTTATTTTGGTTACTTATCGGTTTCTTCAATATTGTTTTAAAAATTGTAGAAACTATAAAAGTTTTGCGACCTAATAAGCAAGGCACCTCAACCCTTTATTATTTACTCATAATGAACATTATATAGTGCGCACTTTGTTCTATATAAAATGCTTTTCAACGTTCGCTTTTATGATATTGGCTGTGACACATGTCGCTTTTGTTTATCGGGCTATTGTGTTTGCTGACGCGCCGTAGCGAGATTCGACTGAGTGTTATACCGTTTGTTATTAGGCAAATAGTGTTCCGGATTCGATTTTCAATTTGACAACTAATGTTTACATTTGTATAAATGAAAATGACATAATTGAAATTAGAGTTCTATAATTCTCGAAGTCATAACTAGCTGTCGCCCGTGACTCTGTCCGCGCAGAATTTATTTGTATTATCTGTCCGCGTTTATTTTTATTATCTGTCCGCGCAAATTTTAGGGCGATCCGTTCAGCCATTCCGGAGATACCGTCAAACAAACATCCATACATCCATCCATCTATCTATCCATCTAGCATCTATCCAAACATTCTCATTTATAATATTAGTAAGATAGACCTTTCGTGATTAATATCTTAAATCTAGTTTAATATCTTAAATCTTTATATTTGTTAGACTCGATATAATAATGTGGAGACATTGCCGAAGGCCAAACTCTTCTTTGATTTAGTTTTTTAGTTACTTCTTATCAATTTATAAAATCAACATGGGTAATGAACAAGGAAATAACATTTACATTGTATTTAGTTTATTAACATCAAGCAAACAAAGAATCTGAGCAAATATTAATTGAAACAGTGTGTATATTGTGTGATAGAAATGTCGTTAAACAGTGTGTATCATTTTAATGAATTATGTTGAATAATACATAGCCGGTTTGTGTGATGTGAGAGCGCTACGAGCGAGCCTACGCCAGATATCTACGACACCTACGAACACCGATCTGGGTTAAGAGACAGCGTAACATGCTGTGTTTACATTGCGTATTAACTACGAGACGAATAACGGAATAAATAAATATTTGAATAAAGATCTGTATTCAAGTAGTGTTGAAACATCTGTGATTTAAATAGACTTTGTTTTTATCGAAAATATACAGCCAAGGCGATATAGTGAATATCAACATATTTATTGTTTTTATATTTGTGTATCTACTGCCTAACTACAGAGTCGTAAAATAATAAAATATGTTAATTTAAAAAAAATAAAAGTAATAAATTTATAAATTACACGTCAAAATACAAGGAATACTAAATTTGAGATACCTTTGGAGACATTGAATAAAACTTAAGGCCGAGCAAGTTTCAAAAATAAACATGTTCGTTTAATAGAGTGTTTGTGTATGAAGGAAGCGAAGGTAGCCGCAAGAGGATCGCGCAGCGCGCGTCGATACGCGCAGCAGCGTGACGTCGGCGCCCTCGCCTCGCGCCCCGCGCCCCGCCTGCGCGCCGCCCGCACCCGCGTCACTCCGCACGTACCACGCCGCCGCGGCCGCGACGCGCTCCTCGAATACACCCTGCCCGTCGCCCAGCCACCGGGAGACCTCACCACCACGCACCACCAGTGTTGCATATTCAGCCCCAAAGACCTAGTGAAAATAAACATTGCAGAGTGACAATCGCGCAAGCGCGCCGCGCGCGGCCATGACGACAGCGGCCATCTTGCCAGAGGACGCACTCTCGCCTCGCCCAAGCATAAGAGTATAATCGGAAAACCGCGTCGCGAGTCGAGTCAAGGGAGCGATGCGTCGAGCCCGGTGCTCCGCGGCGGGTGCCTACTGAGCCCGCACCGCGCCGCCGCTATCGATCGCGAGCGCGATGGCGCTCGAGTGAATGCGGACATCGAGACCGTGCGACGGCCAAGAGCCAGCGCAGCGCGCGTCCAGTGTGAGTGCTAGTGTGGTCGCGCGGCATGTGAGGCTCCGCGCCGGTGGGAGGGCGCGCGGGCGGCGGCGGGGCCGGTTGACCGCGCGCCATGGGCGAGGAATACGCGCGTTCCCCCTGCGAGAGATTCCCGACGGCGGGCGCGTTCAGCGTGGCGCCGCCGGAGAGGCTCAGCCCGCCGCCGCCCGCGCCGCTGCCGGACCGCTTCTCGGCGTCGCCGCGCCGCGTGCGCCGCAGCGCGGAGGCTGACCGCGCGCGCCTGCCACGCTACGTGCCACCTGCAGCTCACGTGCCCGTCGAGCGCTACGTGCCTCGGCCGCCGGCGCCGCTGCGGCCGCCGCCCCCGGTCTACTGCGGGTTGGCGTGCCGGCCGCCGGCGCCGCGCAAGTGCTGCGGCCCGGCCTGCCGCGAGGACATCGTCGCCTCGCCGCCGCCAACGCGGTACGTGGAGTACGTGGGCGCGGCGGCGGCTCGGCGCCTAGCTTGCACGCCGCCGCCACCGCCGCCACCGGCGCTGCAGCTGCCCTGCGACGGTCCGGAGCCGCCGTGCTGCATACAGGCTCGCCGGAGACAGCAGCAGCCGCAGCTTGACTGGTGAGTCTATTGTTCTATCCTGCTACACGTCTACACACCACACCAAACACACCCTACCAAACAAATTGTCACCGCGAATGTATTCAGCAAACGCATATCGGTTTTGACAACATAAATTATTCGGCTGCATGTCGTTGTGTAAACGTTGTCCGAGCAAATATTACGCAGTCGGCAAATAATAATAATTGATGATGCGACCGCAAATGAAGGGTACCTAAAATTATATGAATTCGTATTTAATTCACTAACGATGTCCTAATTGAATTGTGACTAAAGCAATAAATACGTTTATGTTTAATCACATACGGTATCATTAAATCCCGTTTTTATGTTCTCGTTGGCTTTATTATTTTAAACATAAAACTATAGAAAACTTGAAAATAGGTAATCTATGAAAGTTGCAAGGTCCGTTTCATTAGTCTTAAAATGATCTCTGTGATCTCTCTGTTACATACATATGTAGCGTTAAATAAATCACTATTAGTACTAGAATTAGTTTGTTAAAAACTGACAACATTTGTTTGCGTTTGAAATAGATTGAATGAAATTATTAAAATCTAATTACACAATTATTACGCAAATAAACCAATCAAAACACATATGTTGTGTTAAAGATTTTCAATTTTGTAAATAAAAACAATATAAACAAATTAAAAATACAAAGAAATCTTGCACAAATAAATATTACATTACTAGCATGTTATACGCCATAGATATTAGTGTGCAACTTTCTTTTTAAAATTCCATAAACCGATTCTCTCTATATCTCTTCGGTAACCATAGTAATATTTGTAAAAATATTTATTTCATTGCAATTTTATTATATTTTAAATTAACGCCATCTAGTACAAAATTATAAAAACAATATGTAGCATATTATTAATCTATATACATTTACGATATATTTTTTAAATAATATTTGCAATTGTATATGGTAGAAATCTTCGCAAGTCATCCTAACGTATAGCTTTGGCTAGGTTATGTATCGTTGCAAACTGTCAAGATAAGTTTGTGGATAGACGTTTCTCAAATCTATTTTATTCACATGGTCAGAAAATGAACGAGGGTAATGTGTTGTGTAGATGCCTTCTTCGAAATATACACAAAAAAGGTCCGTCTCTATTTACTATATTACAAATACAGCTATGTCAGTCTACGTCAAATTTTCTAAGAAAAAAACCTTGAAACAGTTTTTGTAGGATAACGAAGGATATCGGAAGAGAAAGCTTCATTTTCTTGTTTATATTTATTTGTATAATGTCACTGTTTATACCCCAAGTATTTATTTATATACTAGCTGTCGCCCACAACTCCGTCCGTGCGGAATTAAAAAAAATAAAAATAATAAGTAGCCTTTGTTTTCTCCCAGACTATGCTCTACATCTGTGCCAAATTATAGTAAAATCAATTCCGGATATACCTTCAAACAAATATCCATCCATCTATACTTTCGCATTTATAATATTAGTTAGATTATTAAGGTTGATTATTCGAGTGACATATGTATTCATACAAGTTTCTTCAATGGAAACTCTTGGTTATATAACATATTTGCATCTAACTAGTCGACTGAATAACGCTTTGTATCATATTTGTTACCTATTTCTTTATACGTCGTCTTTTATTAGCGTTCCTTTTTAATGTTTCCAGTCCCGTTCGTTTTATGACAGCGATGGAATTTCGCTTGGGTCTCGTGAAATTTCCATTAAAAACTTTTGCGACTGCTCACAAAAAATTGACCTTTCATTGCCTACTATTAAAACGTGAACGAAATTTAGATTATTATTTAAAAAAAAATATATTTTATATGTCTAGACAAAAGACGGATAAATTGTTAGTGATTAAAAAAGGTTTTGAACTTTGATCTTGTACAGCTAATAGCAAATGTGTTCCTGTAACTCTAGTAAGTAAAAAAGCTATCCAATTACGGGTCCAATAGAATGGTATAATCCTTCACATGTCTATGGGATTGCATCCGAAACTCACTCAATCGTATTCCTAAGGCTTTAATACTATCGGGTAAGGGGAGTTTAAGACGGGTAATTGCTTCTGTGCAAGCGTTGACGCTACTTTTACCCTATTGCGGTCGATCTTCGAATGACATAAATTGCTTTCTGGAGCGGATTCGAATGTCGAACAATGCTATTGAATTCATTCGATGAGTTTTTGTCTGGAATAAATGTATGTAAAAGAAGTATAGATACATGTTGTATATAAAGAATATGAAAGACGTTTGAGTTCTTGTTTCTCAGTTGTGAAACTTGAAGGTACATAATTCCTTTTATCTATTAAGAAACTGACTAACCGTTGTTGATGGGACCAAAATGTCTGTATAAAACATATCGTCATCTCTGTAATTATCTTTGACAGAAGAAAGGCACACGCGGATATTGGTTTCAGGAACTCACGGTTAAACGCAGTTCAAATTTTAAGCGTCAATAGCCTAATGGTTAAGGGTACGGATATCCGACCACGTGGTCGGAGGTTCGAATCCCGCCATTCGACTATCGTCGTAAACCCATATCCTAGCACAAGCCTAGAGCTTAGTTGGAATGGTAAAAAAAATATTAGTAAATTTACAAAAAAAGATCTGCTAATGATCTCATAGTTTTGTCATTGATTACACACGACAGCATTTTTTTGGGATAGCCACGTAGACGAAGTCGAAGGCACAAGCTGGTTTAACGTATATGTAGGTATTGGTTAGGTGAACGTTTGAATAACTTACTCTACTCCTTTTTATTATTTAAACATACCTCGAAATATCAACCTTATTTCTTATCTTTTCCATTATTCTTTTTGAATACAAAACTAGTGGCATTCAAGTATTAATCCGCTTTGAAGATATTGTGTATTTTCCTTTGACAACGTGTAAAATATTATATTATTATTATTACTTTGGTTAGTGAATGTAAAATTTATCTTTTACCGTGAATTTCAATTTTTGTAAAACAAATAAACAAATGTTATCGTTATCTCTATTTTTTCAAAGAGAATAAAAGAGATGGCGATGTTGTAATACATATGTTAAAAGACTTATCGTTCTTAAAGATAAGCGACGCGGGCGTGTCAGGTGTTCTTTTGATATCATTTGACACGTTTTTGTGTACCGCGTCTGTGTACGAAGTTAGTCGAATTGTGTTTGTTAAATATTAATAAGAAATTTGTGTGCTTGTGTGTGTGAAAGTGACAGCGAGAAGAATTTCATCCATGAGAGAGTGGATTGTTGTTTTATAATGCATGAGAAGTAAGTTACCTTATAAGCAGACATGTCTTCAAATGTCTTTATTTTAATACGGGGTTTTTATCAGTATTTATCATGATTACAAGTGACATCTCTTAGTGCATAATGCATTTATTGGATATTAAATCTGTTTTATTAACATGAAGATAGATGGCATTATGAATTAACTAATTGCTAATTCCTGTTATCGTGTTTCATTTTTGCAAAATACAGATTATAGGCGCGAGTCATTGTCCGGTCGTGACAGACGGCCTCCATAAGCGAGAAACTCTTGTAAGAGAGAAACCTCTATAAGCAAGAAAAACTTCTTGCTTATAGAGGTTGAACCCTCCCTTATCTTTTCGAAGATACCGTGTTATAAATCGTAAACCTATTATGTACATTGAATTTAACAGTTTATCTTTGGAAAACCCTGTTTTTATTTTGATATAGATTGTAAAGTTTATACATTCATATAATAAAATGTTAGGATTATAATTGTAATGGGTCTATAAAACAAAAGTAACGGCCCTTGGGATAAAAGTATGCGGCGATATAAGTGCCTCGGCAACTCTAAGTAAGCTAGGGAGGTGCGTGATTTATCGATGGCGTTTCTGAAAAAGCAGCGCCGAACCAAAACAAGCGAATAAGGAAGATAAATGAATTACTTTCGTTTTGAACGGACCCATTTGTACGTTACCTGCCACACCGAATTGCTTTGTAATTTATTTTTGATCATATTTTTTATTGCGTTATTAATTTTTAAACGGATATTCGGCTTCATTTATATTTCTACTATCGAATGCAGTAGAACTGTTTGTTAGAGTTCGCAAGATTTTATTTTTAGGTTATAAATTGTGTATTAAAAGCCGTTGCACAATATAATTCGACATTACACGTTACTTGAAATGACATCATTATCTTGTACTTTTATAATTGAAATAAAATTGATATCAGTATACGTCAATTTCTGATACTAAAAACCCTGTTTAATATTGTTTTATCTATTTTGTCAAAGATAAACAGAGATGACGTATTTTATACAGAGATTTTGGTTTCAGAAATCAACTGTAAATGTAATTAGAAATGACCCGTAATATAAACGTTTTTGATTCCATTTTTAAAAAGCTTACACAGATTATTTTAAAACAGAAAAGAAGAAAACCCACCGCATACATAGTGCACTCGCAGAAAATGTAAATTAGGTTGTGTAAATAATTTTCTTACTCGCATTTCATGTCATGCGCTAGAATTATAGCAACTGCGTTTATGTTTTTTAATTATAAAGCAGCAAGCATTATTACAGTAACAAAAACAAATATAATATAGTATGGAAGTTGAAATTACGTTAGTGCTATTACATTTAGACATTATTAGTTAGAATCCTTTGGCGCGAATGACGTGCTTTCGTTACAAAGTCCAGTATCAGAATGAATAGTGAGGGGTAACAAACGTCGACATTTTAGTAAGGCTAGTGTAGTACACTGCCAAATTTTCGGATTTTCTTCTTAACATTGCATAAATATATCTAGTTTGTCGTACTGTTTCCTAAAGGAATTCTTTAGTGTAGTTTCTGTTCTTTGGTGAACAGTAAAATGCCAATATCCATGATTGTGTGCAGTCAACTGGCGGTGTTTTACGTCCAAAGCGATAATCGTTTGAATCGTCTCATTCCATTATTCAAATCATTACGTAATAATGTAGTGTTCAAATTTAAAATAGTTGTAATAAAAATTGATTAATTATATGATGGAAACATTGGCATCCGTTTGTTAAC